CCCCCCCTCTCCAGTATGTACCGTGAAAAGAGACATACCTACGTACTCCGATGTCCTTGGAGCTCGGGACAAGCGTTTGGAAACTCACCTGCTTGATTTTCCTGTCACGCGGATGATGATGCCAACTCAAACGCGCGTTTTCTCGGGCTAGGAAGGACGTTCGATGGTCGTACAGTTCTAACAACTCGACCTGCCATTACTTTATTCTGAAATTAGCGCCGCTCCCCGAACCGAACGCTTCGATTGGAACCAGTAACGTCACGTCCAAGGCGTCTTCGCAATGCTGGAAGTCAGGGGTTGTTGGGACACCGCCGACCACGTGTGCGTTGTGGCGGCGGCTGAAGTCGGTGAAGATTAACGCGTGCAACGAGGAACACGGCCGGTTTTCTCTTCTTCTCTGTAGATCATCGACCTTGTTCGTTCTCATCTACTTGTTTTGCTTTGGTTTCCGGACGAACACGTTAAGGTGGACAACGTGTACGGCAAGATGAAGCAGAGGGGAGCGGAGGACGTCTTGGGAGACATCGCCAAGCAGGACCGCAGGATCAACCGAGCAAGACAAAGCATTACCCCAGCGGTGGGTTGTGTTTTGTTTTGGCGGTCGGTTTGTTCCCCACGCCCGATACTTCCTTGGCCGCGCATCGTTCTTTTTTTTTTTGTTTTTTTTGGAGTCCTCTTGTGGGTGATGATCGTTTGCTTTACTGTCTCTCCAATTGTTGCTACTTGCTGCTTGTTGAATTCTGTGCTCGGGGCATTGCCAGATTTCTTCATTCCCCCACGAAGCAGTATAGTGTACAGTATGGTGCCGATTCGGAGCAAGAAACCGTACCGTAATCTCAATCTTAATCAACCTTGTGCTGCTGTCACGTTTGCTTCGTGTGCGCTTGGTTACCTTACCCCCTGTGCAAGTCTTATCCTACGTCGTGCGTGTGAAAGTCTAGACAAGAAACAGTGTAGTGGTCGTGCGTTTCAATTTTTCCGCGTGGTTGCTTGTTGCGTGCTGTCGTGGTTTGGTTTGATGGTTTGATTGTTTCTTGACATTGTGATGCGTCGCGCCGTCGTTGTTCTGTTTTATTTATTTATTTATTTGTTTAAATTGTTTGCGGTGTTTGCCGCCGCCGCCGCGGGTAGTCTACGTACTGCTTGATTGCCACTGATCCCCCCCCCCCCCCCTCCCTCATTTTCTTTGTGGCGCGTTGTTTCGCGGACGCTGACGCTGACGCTGACTTGGCGCTACCCCCAGGAGGGTGTCACGAAACACCCCAGAGGCTCATCGAAGCACCGCATGAAGGTAAGGGAGGCGTGCATCTTTTTTCGATTTTTGTATGGATATAGTACTGCTGTCTTGGTGGGCTGTATTGTTGAACGTGTGAAGGCGTTGTAGGGTTTCGTCGTTTTGGCATCTTAAAACCGTTAGCACGTGAAGTTGTGATGGCAGGACAGGGCTAAGATGCTGCTTCTGTTGTGATCGGCCTGCCGGTATGCTATATGCTTTCCACCCTTTGTCCCCCCTCAAGCCAAATTCTGTTTTTGTCTCGTGACGCCCTAGTTCGACGGCCAATGAACGGAACCCGTCGGTTGTATGTTTGTAACGTCTCGCGACGTCCGTGTTCAACGACCAAAGTGAACCGATGCGTGTCGTATGTAACGTCTCTCGATAACAGCAGTGTCCGACCGCCATTGAACGCGCGTGCATCTTACGTAACGTCCCGCGAAACTCTATTCGACGGCCAAAATGAACGGATGCATATGCATATCTGTAACGTCTGGCGACACTCTGTTCGATGGCCAAAAATGAACGGATGAATATCTTATGTAACGCCTCGCGACACCCGTGTTCAACGACCAAAATGAAGGCGTAAGACAGACGCGACACCCGTGTTGAACGTCTCGGGACACCTGTGTTATACAACGGCGAAAATGAAACGGATGTGTATCATAAAGCGACGTCTCGGGACACCTGTGTTACACGGCGAAAATGAAACGGACGTGTCGTCTTACGAAACGAACGCAGGAGCTCACGGAGGTGGGCGAGGTGGTCGCGGACGGCGACGAGGAGCTCCTGAAGGTGGCCAATATGGCCAAGTCCGTCAGCAACAGCGGCGGCGGCGGCGGCGGCAGCAGGGGCGGCGGCGGCGGCGGCGGATCCATCGCGGACGGCAAGCCCAAGAAGGACAGGAGGACGACCATGCTCGGGCGCTTCCGACGGCCTCGAGCGGCGGCCCCGCAGGATGGAGGGGGGACGGGGGGGGAGAGCGGGGTGGAGACGAACGCCGCCCTGGCGAACTACATCACCAGCAAGAAGGACAAGAAGGTGTGATTGCGCGTTTTTTTTTGTGGACCGAGTAGGGCGTGCGTGCTTGCGTTTTTTTTATTCCGAACGGGGTTGTTATTGTTGTTGTTGTTGTTGTTGTTATTGTTGTTATTGTTGTTGTTGCTGTTGTCGCTGGTGGTGGTTTTAAAAAACAGGTCATTTCGGACCTTCATGCGGAGTCTCCTGCTACTTTCCTGGTCTCCCAACGGAAATTGGACCAATTTGCCGTGTTCGCAAACCAGAGTTGTTAGATGACAGACAGAAGATATGCAAGAGACTAGAAATGTGTCCCAAAAGCCGCGGGGGGAAACTAGGTTCCAACACCTAGGGCAAGGACAAACCCCATTGGATACTGCCAAAGGAGTGCCCATTTTTTTTTTTTTTGTCATCGGATTCGTCGTGGTCGTTCGGTCCTTGCAACTTTCGGTACAATAAGTTAATTCCTTGGGCGCACCAGCCGGCGTGACGGCCAAGGCCCAATCTGTATGTATGCACTATTGGAGTACGCGGATTTGGTATCGACAACGTGCGTGTTTCAGATCCTTCTTGACTCAACAGAAGACGGGGGGCAAGAGGTTGTGCCGAACGTGCAGGTTTGGAAAAAGCGGGTGTAGAATAAAATAATACAAATAATTTACGTGGAAGCTACGGGCGGTGTTCGTGGCGCAAGCCAATCAGGCCAGACCCAACCCCAGCCCGCGTCATCGTCAGGAGAATGAACTCACGCGCTTTGACGGCAGCTCGTGACCTCTCCCCCATTCTGGTGCTGCGTGTTCGGCTGCTTGCGTGCTCGGCGTGAGACGCAACTCACGACGCCTGACCTGTTTTTGGAACATGTATGACACGCAGAAAGACTACCCGTCGGACACGTGCACAACACACGACCCTTTTCCCATCCCAAGGCACCAAGCCGAACCCAAATTGAAACCACACCCAGCCCAGCACACCAGACTGATCTCAAAGCTACCCACACTGCACATGACCGACCCCCTTAGGACAAGTCTGCCCGGAGAAGCGCTAAACCTTCAGGATGAGCGGGGCACGTTGCTGCGTCTGGTGGTGGTGCTGGCGGAGCGCAGAGGTCTCGTTCCGCGTGCTTTTCGGATGGATACAGCTGCGCCCTCTCTCTCCTGTATCTCCTCTCTCTCTCGGGCGCCTAAGCTGCATTTCGCGGGGACGCAATAGTGCCGGAGGCGAGCTGCTTATGTACGACCGAGACGGTCGGTCGGCGGGACTGTCGGCGGGACTGTCGGCGGACTGTCGGCGGGGCTGTCACCCATTTTACTCTCCTTTTTTGGCGTACTCAGTCGATCCTGCGTCATGGCGTGTGTAACGTCGGAAGGAAGGCGTTGCGCAGTCAGGTCAAAGGAGATGGTGTCTGTTGATTGATCAACCTTCGGGGGATGACAATATAGTTGGGAGAGAAAGAGGATTCGAGCGCCTTGATGGGAGAGATGCCCGACAGCTTTTTCGATGGTAGCGTTTCGCCGGTCGGTGTAGCGACAACGATAACGAACCCCAGCGATCGATTGAATGCTGGAGCGAAGAACAAGAATTGCACGCGCGTGCAGCCTTCTTTCTATGTTCTGATGTCCGGACGAAAGCAACTGCTGTTGTGTTAAGCCACGCGGCGCTGAGATTTACGCGTTCATTTATAAGTTACGGTATCCACGAGACGGAGTGGGTGGGGCGGGAATTATTTATTGTCGTTTTGCAATCGAATCTTGTGATGTGGTAAGGCGGAGAAGACTTTCTCCAGGTGTTGGCCTCTCGCGGCAGGCATGTCTTCGCCTCCAGTGCGTATTCGGCTCGGTGGTGCTTGGGGTTACTTTTAGCACGCAAGCCGCCTGCTCTGTCGTAGATGCCGGGTCTTGCTGCAGCGCATGCAAGAGCGTGAAAGCGAGGGCTTGCAATGTCATATTTCTTCCTTAAGTCATCGGAAATAGTATCGATTAACACGGTGTGAAGCTGTAGCTGGCAAGGGTTAGGTTTAGCCAAGGCGAGGGATGGGCGTAACGTGCCCTTCTCAACAATCCTATCTGGCCTTGTATGCTTATTCTCGGACTTTGAGCGCTTTCTGATTTTGGCAGGACTGGACCCGTGCGTCTTTCCTCGTCTGTTTGTTCTCGCGTGTTGACCACTACTAGGGTAGTTTGCTTTCATGCTGCGCCAGATCCGTTATGTAGGCATGATGAGGGTAGCAGCAGCGGTTGTGACATACAGGAGATATCGGGGATGGGAGATAGGGCTACAGTAGGTAGTAGTTTAGACACACACACAGTAGTGGTGTTGCCGCATATTGTGTTCGGGTAAAACAGGGCGGGGGTCGGACGGCGGGACCTCTCGTGTGGCTAGCGGGCTGGGGTGCTACTCTCTCTTGTTGATGTTAGTTGATGTTGATGTAGATGTCGTTGGTGATGTCATTTGTTGTTTATTTTGTTGCATGACTTCCCAGTGTCGTGCGCATTGCTCGCCGTTGTTGCTGTGTAGGACCTGTGTGTGCGTTGCGGTTAGGCAACCGCCGCTACCTCCCTCGTTCAGCTTCGTCGAATCGTGTTGTAAAAACGTCAAACACACGCCGTCTTGTTTCGTGCCTCGTTCTTACTAGTTTGCATATTTCTCTGTGGCATTTCGATACCTCGCGTATAATCATGGATATACGCAATCTCTCGGTATTTGGTCATCGACTGCCTTCACAAATCTGAACGCGCAGCAGTCGCGGTCCCGATATTCGGTACCGCGGGGTAGTGACAGGCAAACATCACCACCGCGGTATGACGGGACGCCGCACCATTGAGTGTCGATATATAAATGTATACAAAAGCTTTTAGAATAGTAGTCCCGTGACGAGCGATTCTTACCGCGGAATATCGGGACCCGCACTACTCGGGACCGCGGTACGGTATTTCGGGACCACCACTACTGCTGTACATCGAGCTGGGATGCGTTCGTTCCCTCTACAATCGTCTAAGGTACGGCGCTGGTGTGTGTATTAGCAAATCAACAGACGGCCCGCTCGTAAATAAGAAGCACTTAGTTTGAGAATGACTCAACACCTTGCAGCCTCGACGATTGAGCACAGACTTTGGCTAGGTTCGACTGAGATGTGTGTGAGCTACAGTAGCATGGTGTGCATCACCGCTGGCGCTGCTGGCTCTCTCTGTGGAGCTGTGGAGACCCCCGAGAGATGGCAGACAACCCGCACACTACAGGGTCATCATCGCAATCTTCGCATGCACACATACCCCAGGGGCAGCCGCTATTGCCCACCAGTCGCCCGTCCGTGTGGCCGATCGGTCAAGTCAAACGTGAGCCCAATAATGTCTCGCGCCATTTTGATCATTTTGTCAAAACCTCTGAACCTCGATATCTTGCCACGGAAGAGGAGGTAATTCAGCCTAGTAATGCTATTAAATCCATGTACATGTGTCTTACGTGCACGAGGATGCTATGAGCGGGCCGCCACCGTCGTATGCTGCGAGGACATCTGCATATAATGTGACGGCAGATATCACACCCCCTGGACCGAAGGTTCGATTACTTCGCGACGACAAAGAGGATGCGTTGCTCAAACGATACGTTTTCGGAAAGGTATTCATGAGACGGCTCTAGCGCTAGCCTTTTCGGCACCGCCACTCTTTCTGCTGAGTGAGGTACCCGAGATATAGGTACGAGAATCAATCGGCTCAGGGGTGTGGTATCTTACGTCACCAACGGCTTGAGGTCGCGGACGGGCAAAATGATCTGCACGCCGAACAAAAAAACGTGCGTATGACTTAGGTGTGGCGCATTAGATGCACAGAGACTATACACAGGGGCGCGCACCTACGCACCTACTCGCAAGACGGTGCATTGAACGGTTTGCGCCCCATCCGCCCCTCGGTTTTTTGTTTTTTTTCCCGGCGGTCTTCCCCCGACCCCCCGCTGACAACACGCATGCCGTTGTTTTACGAAACCCCAAAATGTAACCGTTTGAAAAACACTCCTGCAATCCTGTCCCGACGAAAGAGAAAGACACAGACAATCAAAGCTCTCGGGTGCGAGGCACCCCACACCGCATGATGATGCTGCCCCCGCACCTTATTGAGGAGAAGGAGATCTAAACCAAAGCATTTCAGCAGCAGCAGCAGCAGCAGCAGCAGCAGCAGCAGCAGCAACAGCAGCAACAGCAGCCGCATAAGGAGTAACTCTTCTCTGCTTGCAGCGGAATGGTGAAAAATGCGAGCGCGACCACGGGCACCGCAGCCCAGCTGGAATCGACGTCAACAACGCGCCGGGGGTCAAAGCAGCAGGGGAATCCCAGCAGCAGACGGGGTTCGGGATCGCACAAACGAAGGAACTCGGCGACAACAACAGCCGTCATTAGCCACGGGGCCACGACGACGACAGCGACGGCGAACCGTAGGAGGCGTAGTAGCGGTGGCGGCGGCGACGGCCGGGCTATGTCGACCGCAAAGCGACCCTCCTACGCAGCAACAGCATCGGCAGCAGCGGTATCAGGATCGACTGCACCAGGCGGTGATCTTGGTGGCAGGCGTGGGGGAGCTACCAACAGCGGCGAAGTTTCCCACAGGACCATCCGGGACGCTGTGAGGGCGCATGCCCCGAAGGAAGAAGGAGGGTAGGTGCATTGCTGTGCTCGATCCGTTGTACATGTAATGCACATAGACTATGTTGTATGTATGATGTAGGTAGAGACTACATGTGCACGACAGACTACTGCAGTATTTAGATTGGATTAAAGTAGCACCTACACAGGGTAGCGCAGTCTATTTCGTACCACTTGAAGCAATCGCCAAGGGAGGAAAGATGGAGAAATCCTCTTGCGTGACCCGGGCTTATTCGTCAAACATGTCCCGAAAGCTGCAGGTTGACGCCAAGAATATGCTGTTGCTATTTAGTCTACGGGACGAACAGAAGTACGTCTCGAAATACTTCTGATAATACGTCATTTGCTACAGCAGGTCATCTACTTGGTAGCTAGCTCCCACGTGCCGTTGCCGCTTTGATTTTTTTTTTGCCTATGTTCTCTCTTCAAGACATGGTGTAAAATGCCATTTGCGTGGAAAGCGTACAGGTGGAACGGAGGGTGTGTTTGAATAGACCAAAGCCGCCATAAGGCTGCCCGTAAAACGCATTTAGAACGACATTCCACGATCGTTTCGATCATCATGGCATGGTATTCACTGCATGTGTCATCTGGGTGGTGGGTTACGGAATTTGAGGAAGTCATGACAATTTTTCGTGGGGGTAGGGAATACTAACGCCAAGCACAAGGACACCTCTTGCAGGTGTGTGGGCACTCAGACTTACGGCACCCTTGTCTTGGCTACCTACACAACGAACACATGTGGTGTTTTCGACTTATCTTTGCCCGGTGTGGGTGGTACCGCTGTACTTTCGCGCAACACCGCACAGGTTCTTGGGCGTGGATGAGTACGTGGTTCACCTTTACGACAAGTACGCCGAGGGAGGAGGAATGCTATCCAGGAAAACCTTCGCCCAGGTATCGAAATCGCTGACCGTGATCCCTTGTACTTCTATATGCTATATACCAACTGCTCACCTAGCTCTCTCGCTGTGCCCCCTTCTGGTGGATTCACACAAAAAACACATTAGTGGTCTGTTCTTTGGTCTTGATTATTACGAAGAGTTCGCTCACACGGGCAGTGGGCTTGGGCCAGCCCTGCTAGAACTGCGTAGATGTGTGTCACAGTTGACCGTGCGCACATGCGCGATCCACACGCACCGCACACCGCTTCAGGTGATTGCTGAGATCCTGGGGCAGGATGGACTGACCGCCATGGAGCTGGACGATGCTTTCGACTGGTTTCAGAAGGCTTCCGGAGTGCAGGTGCTGAAATAGTCCAGAACGCGACACGTATACGAGCGAACTCCGTACATTTGTGACGCCGACTACTGTATGTACGTGCAGAACAACAACACGTTTCGCAAAGGGTGTATGTACATAGTTTCAACGGCACATCGCTCGGATCATGCCTCCAGTCACCCAATTAAGGGAGTTTTGGTGACGATAGACATGGAAATACAGCCCCCCTTTCAAAGGCGCAACCACGAATGATCCTGAGAAATCGACCTCCCTTTTCTATCTCGCGAAAATACTCTCATTTGTCCACTTACAACCTATACTCCCCTGGGCGGGGCGCCTCGAAGGCCCCGATGATCACGTGATCTGAATAGACGTACGGTCAACGTAAGCGCCTAGATTACTTCATGGCGCGGCTTATCGAGCTTTGTTAAGCAGCCCGGTGTTGTTGTTTAGTCTCTTGGCGACGAGTGTTTCGCACCGTGGTCTCCAGGACCTTCTCCAACCCGCCCGGAATTGTTGTGGGCGGAACTCCTTCGGGTTGCGCTCGGCAGTTCCGATAACGTAGTCTAGCTTCGAGAATGTAGCGCAGTACCTTAGAAATACATGACAATAATGGCCGGTGAAATTACACGGTGACATGGATGAACCTTGGGCGGTGACGGTGACATGGATGAACCTTGGGCGCCCCCCCCCCCTCATCTACCTCCCATTTTCTCTGTATAACGTTTGCGCCCTTCAGTGATGTTGGAGGATGTCTATTTTTCTGAGTGAAAATAATAACACCGATTAATCCCAATAATTCATCTTGGAAACAAATCTGACATGACTGCACGACACATTGGTGTGCGTGCGATTAATGCTGACGTGCCGATAGGGAGGCATCTCCGTAGATGCGTTTTTGGAAGGAAATCTGATGAGCGAGGACGAGAGGAGGGAGACGGCAGGAAAGCTCCGGTCGAAGATCAAGAAGAAATTCGGGAAAAGGTAAAAATTTGTGATCAAGGTACCGGTGGCAGAGGGTGAGATGTCCAGAGGGAGAGGGAGAGGGAGAGGGAGTGCGAGACAGGAGGAGAACCTATTGGGTTCTGAGAAACACATGGTCGAGGAGCGACCGATTGGTCGTTCGCGTGTTGACATGATATTGTGTGTTACGTTTGTCTGCAGACGATCTGGTCCACACCTTTTCCACACACTTTCCGGATGTCACTAATATTAGGGAAATATTGCAATGCAACCGGCACTCCGAGGTGTGGGATGTTCGTATATGCCCATGTTGTATGAGATCCAGAGTCCAAAGAGTGTTGCTAGCTGCATGTATAGATCGTAGAGGCGACATCAGAGAGGAAGAGTAGGAGAAAGGAGGAGAATTCAGGAGTGCCTGGCCAAAACCAGTCGAAAGGGGGCGCGCAACTCGTATCCCAAAGTCTCCCCTAGCATGTCCCTCAAGGTCATTCCCATCTGCGATATACGAAACCGCCAGTATCGCAATCCGACCGATCTACCTCCACGCACAAATACGGGATTCCTCTAATCGTCTGCTTCGTTCGTAGAAATTGCCTGCTCCCGCACACTGCATTTGCAACTTTGCAAAATATAACACGACCGAGAAAAATAGCCACCCTGGACACGAAGGTAGGGCGTGAAATGGTTGTCCGCTTGCCGCTCCGCTGTACCTCAAGGGACGACCAGCTGCGGGAGCTGTTCGACTTCATGGCGGAGCCCAACCGAGGGGATCACGCGAGCGCTCGGGTGCTGTGCGAGGTCGTGGACGAGTGGCTCAAGGTCGGTTGGGGGTTTGGGCCTTAGGGGGAATGAATGATACGAGTACGCCTCGATGTTGACTATCCAAGCTCCATAAGCAGGGCTCTTCGTGCTTAGGCAAATCACTAGTTTCCGTGGTCACACGCTGATGTACAGTGTCACAGACGTATGTTCCAATCACAGTTTTCGTCGACCACGGCGTTACTGTGTACGAATAGGTGGATATCGCGGAGCCGGAAGCTATCTCTGTGCTGCAGATGATGGACCTGGACAGGGATGGAGCGGTATCCGTGGATGATTTCATGGTACGCTTTCGGTAGAAATACAATGCAGGCGGGATGACTACCAGCGTACCTATCGCCGCTAGTTCTGATTCAGCTAACGAGCAATACCTTTGTCGCAGTGCTGAAAAGTCTTTTTGTAGTTGCCGTTCGGGGTCGGGCAGATGAGTTCCATAGGAACACGTCAGACGCTTCACGCTCATTTTTTTTTTTATTAACCCTGGACCGAACGCTATTGACCGACAGTTCTTCGGCCGATCAACGTGGGTGTATGCAAGTACAGCTCGGAGAGTAACCTTGCTCCCCACCTCGGAAAATCAGGAGAAAAAAATCGGCCGGATAGGAGGTTGCCGTATGCTCCATCTCCTCACCAACCATGCCCCTATCTTCCACAATAAGCGTTTTATTGATTCACCATTCTTCCGTTTTCCTATTGGTTTGGTGGGCGGTGGGCAACAGGGCTTCATGGGACCGCAAGGGGAGGAGGTTGTAGAGGCAACCAGTCTGGCAGCAAGACTAGGATCTGCCATCGTCGACATAGAGGTGTGTACGTACTCTTAGTGCGTCCTGTGGGCGTGCTTGGAATAAATGTGAGTACGACAAGATTCCCGACAATAGTAAGCTCCAAACAAGATAAGGCCAGCAGCATCACTTCCGACCGCAGGTTCTCGTGTTTGTGTACAGTTGTGTTTTTAACGTTGAAGGTTGCACTATTTCAACCCCACAATACCGCAAAAACTATTTCTCTTACCTGTGCTACGGATTTTCACAGCTTAGAGATCATTCCCGCTCATCTGTAGCCAAGAAAGTGACAGAGTTGATCACGTCAGCGGCCACGTGTACGTTGCTTCTGCAGTATTTTCACTGCGGGTCACGACGATGGGCGGTGGAGCAAAAACTGTACCATTTTGCGAAAACCGAATCCGGGGCGATTGCTACGTTAAGCCTGGTTTGCAATTTTCAGCCTCGGACCTACCTTCGTCAGATTCTCATACCTTTGGAGTGATAATGCAAGTGTGACCAACACATAAGAACGCATTGTAGCTCGTTCGTGTTACGAAGAACATCTGGCTGCGCTGCTTCTACCAAAATATATCTTCTACCCCTGCTAAGAACAGTGCCTCTGATACACCGGTATCGACTACATTCATTCTTGCACCGACTTTCCCTCTGGTAATGACTACCCTAAGGTTTCGACGTCTAAAGACCAAGAGCATGAGCTGGAACAGAGTGGATACAAGGTGGTCGACGCAAACGTCAATGCTGGAACCCTAGGGCCTCCAATTCATGTCTGGTGAGAGAGAGGGGAGGGAGGGAGGAAGAGAGCGAGAGAGAGAGAGAGAGAGAGAGAGAGAGAGAGAGAGAGAGAGAGAGAGAGAGAGAGATTTGCAGCTAAACAAAAAGTGGGTGAACTGTGTGTGCTGGTGAGTTTTTGGGTATAGTATGTTTCGGCATCGTCGCGAACCTTGCGTCACGCAATGATGACAGTCGTTCGAACGTTGAGGACGTTCAAGTTTTGATAAAGCCGGGGAGAAGGCTGACTGCGTATTCGGCTGTCCGTGTGTGGCGCTTGATCGTTTCATGGTGTTGGTGTACCTTTGTCCGGTCTAGGTCTGATGATGCTGTGACAGGTGCTGTAGGTCCTAGCACCAGCATTGAAACGTTTGTGAGTTTGGGAATGCCTTGCCACGAAACTCGTGAGATTGATGAGGTGTAGGGCGGGGACCACAGAGTAGACTATTTGTCTGCTAGCCCGTTTCGAGGCGAAATACCCACGGCCAGTACCCCAAACCCTACTAGTAGCATGGGTTCCCAGGTAGACGGGAGTCGGGGTCAGGCAGGACAGAATTACCCGCCACTCGTTGTTTGCGGTGGCTGTTTGCCAACCGGAGGAGGGAAAACCACTCTTTTTTCTTTTGATACTGTTTGGACATGACAGATGGGGGTGGGAGCGTATTTGGCAGCTAGGCGCGTTCCGTTTCGTAGTGTATCGTGTAGGGTTTCGGTAGCCTCGTTCCTTGCCATTTGAACAGTCCCGTTGCATACATGTCGCGTCAGGTACCGCCGCCTGAAACACGGAGGAGCGGGCATGCGGTTGAAGCCTCTGGTGGACGTGGTTGTAGACCACAAAAACGTCAACTCTGCTCTGGTGGTTGATGGCTATCAGTGCATCGATCGCAGCCTCAGCAAGGTGATACCAAGTGGCTATCGTTGTTGTCGCTGGGGGAATCGTCGCCGTTGTTGTTAACGTCCCTGCAAATGCTACTGTGTGGCTGTTGCTGAATTACGCGCACAATGTTACGTTCTGACCGCTGCGGAGCCTCCTCGATACTTTAAGCACTATGCGCCGTGTAGCCTCTCCCTGTACGACTTCTTGAAGAAAAAAGTCAACATAACATATTGCATACATTCATTCATCCTGCGCGAAGGGAACTCCTCTGGGTGCGTCCAACTATTTGTGGGTGCGGCGAGCCATGACGGAGGAGGAAGAAGCAAGAGACTCTATCGTTGACCTAGCTGTCACAACGGGGAAGGCCAAGGATCGAACGAGCGATATACATACACCTCCGGCAAGGCAAGCTGCAGTTCGTTCGTTTCGAGTAGTCCTGGTTCCGAATTATCGAGCAGAGAGCCAATCCGCGAGCGTCTAGCTGATTGTGGTCACGACACGAGGAAAGGCTCACGCTGGAGGAAGACACGCATCACTCCCGCACGAGAAAGTCGGATCGACGAAACAAATAACGACGGAAACCGATATGTGCTAGCCGGTTCTGTGTAGTTGTGAACGATAAGAAGATTAGAAACTTCGAGACCTCCTAGGATAACTGAATTACTGCTGTATCGTGGAGGTTTGTCGTTGTCATTTTAACCTTGCCATTGTTCGTTTTATTCACAGGGGCTTTGTGAACGTGGAGGGCAACCTCAACAAACGCACCTTCGGCAAAGACATCTTCCTCTGGTATCGCCCCATCAAGTCCAGGCAGGCAAGCGGGGATCTACTGCAAAAATCATTCAACCACAGAACATGCCACCGCGACGACGTTGACTGCAGCGAGTACAGTTGTCGGCCTTCAACGCGGTAGTTCACGAAGAAGGTGTCGCGGTAGTTCATCGTTCATGCCGGAAACGCGAAGTGTTGACAGAACCTCGCCCGGCCCCGTTAAGCCTTTCCACGTAGTTCATTCCCCCATCTTTTATGTGCTTTTCTTGTGCAGCCCAACGCCTTTACAGGGACGCAGGCGTTCCGAGTGGCATCGACGCTCACCGATGAGAAGCGGAAGATTGAGGTCAGCTCAGCCAACAATATCTTTGAATAATATGCTTGGCGTCGTCATTGTAAGACTTCATTGCGGGATGTGGATCTATCAGTTTTTCGCCTACACTTACCTCGTGGATTGTGTGCCGGTTTGCTGACTCCTTGTCCATTCATTGATGATCGGATTTTTGATATGAATTATCCGAACTGGACTCTCTTTGAATGTTCCTTCCGAGATACTGCTTCCCTTCGAGATCGTATCAAGTGGGTCGGGATTGAATGTATACCTTCTTCATCATCAAGACAATTTTTGGCCATGTGATGAACGATCGTATTCATCCGTGGCTAATCATTTCTTCATATGTTCGTCATGCGTTCATCGTCCTCCGGGGCTTTGGGCCAGCTTCCGTTCTCTGAAGATTACTTTGTCAATCGATGCCACATTATGCCACGACCAGTTGAGCAAGAACGTGCGGAGGCAGATCCGACAGTACGTCGCACCCGCTGAGGCGTCTGAGCAGACCAAAGGGCCAGTCGAGTATGCGGTAAGCGCGGATGACATGCATATGGTTGGCCGAACGTCGTCTCTGTGTCCAATGGCGGCCAGAGCGGCTCCTTCTTTGTACACCCTATTCTTGAGCGTCCTGAGAGTGGTCTCCGTCACGACAAGTACTTGAGAACGTCCTATTTAGAGAACTGACCTGACCCACGACAGATGACTCCACGTTGATAGGGAATTCGCCGATGAGTGAATTGCCGGGGATGTTAGGGGGAAAGGCATTGCGATCGAGGTGGTATGTTGCCAAGGGTGGGTGCCATGTTAGAACAACGTACATACGAACAAGGCAAAGTGAACAGTGCAAGACAAACGGTTGTGTCAAACCCAACTGATCGGGTGTCAAACAGGCAGTTCCGAAGCATTCCTACACAAAACCTCGCTCGAAACGTAGACCTCTAACAATCAGAAGCAATGGGGTTTCAAACTAGCCTGTAGAGGTGGAGATACCAGACTCGGGTATACATCACATCCCTAGTATCGGTACCACGTCGGCCATTGAATATGGGATGGCATGCATGAAAAGAGACCCGACTGTTGGTATGCATACCGTAGTCTGACTGAAGCAGACGTCCCAAGAAAACGTTGCTGCACACAAACAACACAAGTAGCAGAAAGCCAGCTTGAGCATACACTAGCAGCAAATCCGTGCCACTTGTAGTTCGACTCGTGTCTCTGTGTTTGCCTATTGCTGTTGGTTAGCCCTCACGACAAAAGACACACTGCAATTTGTCTTGACTCAGGCCATCTTCAACAAACACGACCCGAAAGGGCGAGGGTTCCTCAGCCAGGCGCAACTCCGGCACCTCCTGAAGGGCGTGGGGCTCAACGTCGAGAACAAAGATCTGAAGCTGTTGTTCGGCAGGATTGACCACGACGCCACCAATAGTGTCTCCAGGTACCTATGCAGCACACGTGGACTTGGAGATCGACCCACCGCGAACGCTTTATGCCCCCGTTTTGTTTTTTCCGCGCGAGTTTCAGTGTTGATGTTTTCAATTCTTTTCATTTCGTTGGGGTTTCTCCCCGAGAAGTGCTTGCACGTTCGATTTCCTCGATGCGACTTTCATTTCTCTTCCAACGTGTTTGTGCGTGTGGTCTGCCCTGCCGTTGTTGGGTTTCACCATTTTTTTTGTGTCACTTGTGCGTTTGTCGTGTTTAGCTCTTGGAGCACACTGAATGTCTGATGAGTTCCAGCAGTCGTCCTGAAGGACATCCCTTACAAGGGTGTTCAGGTGCAACTAAGGACCCGATCTTCTACGGCAACCTCCCCTATTGAAAGTGTGCATAGGCTAGGGCACCCACCCTCTAGAAGGAAATTTATCGTGCTTTGTTATGTTCGTACAGGGGCGAGGGTCTACATCGTTGTGCCATTGTCGGGCCACTATCGCCGAAACATGTGTCGAAACTCGAGGCCTAACGCTTGCTTTCTACCTGACAATCTCTCTCCCCTCGGAATCGTTTCTGGTAGGGACGAATTTCTAAGCTTTGTAGCGTTGACCGAGGATGAGCTAGACGAGGTGTGCGACAAGCTCCGGAGGAAGTTTGGAGCGGGGATTTTTTCTGCCGCGGGAGCGTCAAGGAAGGAGCAGGTACGAGAAGCACAGGAAGAGCATTGAAACCGCCGTGCCGCGTTACTCGTTATTCATGATAACTTACGATTTAGTGTGGCATGGTTGATTGTGAGCATTCTATGGGCTGCCGACGATGACATTTGGGGCGTGCACATGGTGGACATCCCATGGGCATGATTCCATTGATCGCCCATCCATGACGCGCATTCACTGGTGGCCATGGTGAGAATTCGATAGGTACTGCTCATTGTGAACGTTCTGGGACGCCAATGATGAGCATCTTGAGCAAGCCCATGGGCATGCCGCGTGGGCCGCCCATCGTGGGAGCAATTAAAGTGAACCATCGGCTCTCGATCAAGGGACAATGAAACTGCCCATGGCCGTCTTTCATGGGCAGCCCATGGAATAGCTAACCCGCATGGGAATCTCGACGGACCGGAAGCGCTCATGGAGCATTTAATTGCATGGATTGCCCATGGACGACCCATGGGCACTTCATGGGCATTCCATGGGCACTCTATGGGCACTCAGCCAATTCCATTGGGGGGCATAGAACAAAAAGCAAGTTGCCAAAGCGTAGGTGACTCTAAGAAAACGAGGAAGATGGAGCCGAGGGGAAAACGAACTTGACGTCACCAAGACGACGCATGTTCACTACGTAGTCACCGAAACCTGATCTAGGCCGTTGTTCCTTGGTGGTCCAGGTTGGTACCAGAAATGGCGTCCACGCCGCCAGTGTTTCACGGTGAACAGAGTGTCACTTCCTTAAAACATCTGCAGGGCAAACCACATGTAGGCTAATGGGCGTCGGGGGCATTTCACTCGCTTGTCAGTACCTAGAAAAACTACGATCAGTGTGCTACGTATCGTCCAAACGTCGACGTAACCAGCTGCTGACCTCCATTTGCGTGGCCCTTGAACACGAACTACGTGCTACACACTGTGTTTTCCAAGAACGTTGCCCTTGGCCCAAGCGGACACGCGTCTACCAAACTCTTGCTGGCGGAGCAGCGAGGTAGCAGAATGAGAACGCTGGACGTTCTCTCATTTTGGAACCCCAGAAAACCGAACCGAGGCATCTGCACCGACACGCCTCCAGGGCTTACCAATAAGAAACCAAGTGCGTGCGCAGATCTGGGAGATGTACCGAATTCTTCCATTCACTATTAATGACATTTCATTAGGTCTTTGACATGAAACATATATGTTCACTTCACTCGATTGTTGTTACTAACTTCACGAGAGAGCGCTTGCAGAGCAGATTTCTCATGAATCCTGTCTCCACGTCGTGCTGCAAATCCTTTTCAGATAAAGGGTCTCCGGCGACGCTTCGCTCAGGTGGACGAGGACGGGACCGGGGTGCTCACGCGGGAGCAGTTCAGCGAAATGCTAGCAGGCGTGGGGATATATCTCACAGCACATGAGCAGGAGCGCGTCAAGGAAAGGTCGGTTGTGTGGTTTAGTGCTTGCGGCAACGACGACCAACAGCCTTTGCTTGGTCACAACCAGAACCCACCATTCACTACCAACAACGCAGAAATATTGGAGAGAGTAATGACTTGTTGACCTCTGCAGTGTACGTCTTATGATTCGGACAAGATTGCCGAACTTGTCAGCATCTATCCTGGGCTCTATTAACTCCAAGCCCAATCCCACATGGGAACCCAAACACCGCTCGGGAACGTGGGCACGAGCTACGCCACATTTACATGCATCACGATCAACACGCCCAGCAATCCACAGACGGAATCAAAGCGAATCCTTCGAGCGACCAGGGCATGATTTTTGTCATGGAAAAGACATGCGAGACTCTCGGCACTTCAAGCTACCGTAGAAGCGCATCACATTAGCGTTGTGCTTCAAACACCAACGCACGAACAGGTTCGACGCCAATGGCGATGGGCGTATCGACCTGCTGAACTTCCTCAACTTTTTCCTCACGCGGGACCGGAAGGAGAGGAGGCGCGCTGCGAGAGTGACTCGAGCCCTAGAAGCTATCAGGGAGGACGCTCTGCACAAGCAGGTCGACAAGATCAAGAAGCAGACTATCGGTCACATTGACAGGTGAAGCCTACGCAGGACTACGGAAAAAAAATCTCCCTCGACACTTCACCTACACCTGAGGGGTGGCCTAGTGAAGTTTGCTTTCCGAAACAAGAAATACAAGCACTGTGGCGGTACTTCTGAAATCTATTCGTTTCTAAGTTTGCTCGCGCTTTTGCTGCGGTACTTTGCTGTCAAATAGACTTTTTGCCTCGTGTTTTTTGTCTACGCCAAGATACGCACTTTCTGTTTGTTCAAGGAGACACTGCCCATTCTTCTGATGTTGCTCTTGTGTCGGCAGCGGCACAGCGTGGCAGGACTTGAGGAAGCGCCATATCAAAGCGTACAAGAAGGCGTTCCCGAACTACCTCACCGTCGATGATGTCGGCCAGGCCCTGGAAAGACTGAACATCAGGTAGGTATTCCCCCCGCCCGCCGGTGATGACGCGGATGGCCACCATGACTAGGGTCGATTTTCTCGGGATTCGCAGGCATTAGTACATGCGGTGACCGATGTGGTGACGAGGTGTGACGAAAGAGTGTCTATCGTTGACGTCAATCACGGTTTTGTCGGATGGCGGAAAAATATCCGCTGCGCGCAACGGCCAGAAGTGAGACGCCAACGGCGCCCTGTGTTTGTCCTCACGAGGTCACTCGTCGTGGAGTAGTGTGTAGCGCAGAGAGGTTCGGTGTGGTTGTCATCTGTCAAATTTCCGAACAAGAGTGAACCTGTAGGCCAGTGCCATTGCACCCAACGTGAACGTAGCTGCAAGCTGGAAGTTGTTCGTTGACGACGGTTTTGGAAGTTATTTGGAGGGAATAACGCCCCCACCCTAGACCAGCCACAGCAACAACAGCAAAAACAGCAACATGAGAAATAGCCACGACTCTTCACTGCCGCGATCCTTTTCTGTCTGCCACACCCCAAGGCTGTCCCAGCGGGAGCTCCACCAGACGGTGATGCGCATGGCGCCGCTCGGAAACGGCCACGTGAGCGAGGAAGATTTCCACCATCTCATCGCGGTGCCCCCGAGGGACATCGGGATCTTGCTGAAAATGGTCGAGAAGGAGGCCATTCCTAGCCTCATCGAGGCATACAGGTACGCTGCACGATTGTGGACGAAATGTTGCATATGCGCGGTGGTAGACTAGTAGAGGGGGGGGGGAGAGCCACGTAGAAAGAAGGCATCAAACAGCCTAGGACGGCGGTGGGAGTGGAGAAGCGTCCAACGCGCTCTATTGCGAGACCCTCCCGTCTCGTCAGCCTCGATTGTGCAATAGACGAGGCGGGGTGGGAGGACGGGGCAGAAGGCGACCTTCACATCCGTAACTTCGAGGTTTAAGAATCCTGCTTGAGTCGACAACCTCACGCCAATTTTCAATCAGAATCACAAAATTTTCGCTTTTTTCGGTACCACTTAACTATTTCCCCACGATGCGCCGAATTGTTCTCGAGTGACAGAGGGGTGACACTCCTAGGGCCACCAAGCCATTCAAATACCATTCAAATGTGGAAAAAGCCGTAGGTGGTGTTAGCGATTCAACGCGCTGTCACGAGGTTGGTGCCCTCGCGCATACATGGCTTCGTCTTGAGAGCGACCAGAAAAAATGAGAGGTAGGAGCAATTCAAAGCAGGACAAATTCAGCAACTTCTGGCTCAAGAACTTGACTTGTTTCCGTCTGTACTACGGCGGGTGCTTGGTCAATGACGTAGGGAATACGCGAGGCGCACAAATAGTAGACCCCCGCCCGTTACTCACTCTCTTGCCAACGCCCCCCCAAATTATCGAAATTTCCTTCTTGATAAGAGCCTCCCCCTCTCTCTATCACTTTATCCGCAAAATCTACGACAAAAACTCCATTGTGCAAAAGGCGCGTCCGGCATTGCCAGCATCGCAAGGTTTTCCAGGAGGTTGTCGCGCATGGGGGCACCGCCGCGGTCGCGGAAGCAGCGTCGCTCGGCGCCACGTTCAACGTTGGAGCGAGCCTGAACTTCAATGCTGCCGGTGGTAACCTGGGCTGTGGCGGTACGGAGCTACACAGGTGAACGACGGATCCTAGTCGAGTCCGGCGGTCGTTTCGATCAAGGGCGATGCCTTGATGTGACAGTGAGGGCGAGCATACATGTAGGGCAGGTAGACGTAAAAGAAGAGGCGTGTGTTTGGTCGTACCCTTTTGATCTGCAGCCACAAATGTCTCGTAGCAAGTCGCTTGGGTTTCAACGTTTCTGCTTTTGCGCCCCTCGCTCCCCTGTGTGATTTCAAAGAGAGGGTAGGTGGTTGTCGTTCGTACAACTACGGGGTTTCCTCTCAATTTTTTCGGTCATCGCAAGAAAAACGTCTACGAACACCCGTTGGATAATCGGTCGTTGACCCCTTGCTTAATATTTCCATGACGTCTCTACATTTCACTTGGAAATCAGGAGCCCACCGAGGTCTATGGTGTACTGTCTTACATGAATCAACCCCGCCCACCCGTCCTCCTCGGCGTGTTGATCGTACTCCCGAAACAAACCCGTCTCGGGCTATCGGGGGCAGGCCTCGGACAGCTGGGGGATCCCCCTCTCGCCTTGGCCGTACCGCAGGCGGTCTAGCTGTGGGGGAATCCACGGCACTACTCACGCCCCTTGCGAAGGGAGGTGCGATTGGAGGCATTTCTATGTCGGGGACGGGAATGTGGGACGGAGATGCTGAAGACCCAGCCCTCAGGTACGCACCGCATCTAGTATCTTCGGGAAAATTTCATCCACATTTAAAGCACTTTGGTATGAGAGTAGCTTCTATGGATGAGCTAGTAAGGTGTAAATTCCTGGAGAGGTGTTCAAGAATGATACTCTCTCTGACAACCGCAAGAGCTGCCGGTGTGTTCTTTTCGGGGCCTATATTTTTCGGCGACCAAAGAACATGCTGAGGACAATTGTCAGGCATCCGCAATTTGGTTTTCTACTTCCAGATGAACCCAGTCTTCGTCTTAAGACAAAGACAGATCCCCAATGTGAAATTCTCCTGCAAGGTCAGGTTTCGAAATACCGGTCGGAGAAGACCCGGGACGAAGTTGCGTTCGCGGGTTTTTGTTCTCACATTTACTCTGAAGTCGCAATCACCTTGTCGTGTTCCATCAATGCTGCTGCCTTCGAAGGTGATCACCAGAGGCTACTTGTGCTCTCTGTTTGCACGGCCCTACGACTGAACCGATGGCTCCGAACCAATTCAAACAGGATTGCACACACATGCAGAGAACTTAACCGAGCGTTTGTGGGGCGTCGTTCAGAGGAGTACGATATGTGATGATGGTGCTGCACTCCTTCCCTGATCGTTCTTGTTCCACCACGTTGATTTCGTCATGCAGCCTGAACGATTCTCTATGTCCAGTGCAGAACATATCAACAGAATGAAGTTTCTGCTTCGGCCCAAACGTCGGGTGGAACGTAGAGGGGATCAGATGACAGTGTACCTGACGTTTGCGGTGCGTTTCCTATCATCGACAAACAGGGAGGACTTCACGAAGCAGCTGGAAGCCCTGGTGAAGGCGATCAGGCCGGACGACCAGGACTTCACGACCATCGAGCACATTCGGGACGGTCTGGCTGGGCATAAGGGGAACAAGCTTGATCGAGACGGCATACACGAGACTGAGTGGGTGAGAGGGCCTGAATTTTCACTCGCTTTGCACCTGCAGTAGGCCATTCGCCAAGTTTCCGGATCTGAACTCTACACGGCTCAGTGAAGCGGGGCTAGATGTTCCCGCCCTTGTGTGCACCCCCTCGGATGCGGACTCACAGTCTCTCTCTTTCTCTATGCACCGCTCGCGGCGGCACAGTGGGATGCAGTCCACAACTCACTCGACCCTTGCATGCTTCGTACGCGTACTCTCACCCGGAAAGGCCCACCTGGCACAGCTCGTGGGAGCAGAGGAACCCGAGCACAACGTCGTCGATGCTCACGCTTTCCTGGAGGGACTGTGCGGGGAGTGTCTGGAAGAGCACGAGAGCACCAAGGCGGTAACGCTGGAGGACATCGCGCACACGGAGGAGGAAGCGCTGAATCTGGTGAGCCGAAGCGTTGTGTTGTTTGCGTAGAAGGAATGACGATCCAGTTTGTTCAATGTTTCGCTTTCGTGCGTAAACGCAAACCACGTGTGGCGTGAAACCGTACATTCATTCGGGCACGTAACTCAACTTTATGTGACTCGAATTTTGTGACTCAAAGGCTCTTTTCGCAACCGAAGGGCGCTAGATCTATCTTGGTGAAAAGCTTTGGCCCCCTCCGTGTCGATTCAGAGCATGCGCTGTTGCAGCAGTTTCCGTTTATGCAGGTGAAAGCTCTGCAGAAGTTGGATAGGTGAGGGTCGGGCGCGAATGTTAGGGACGCAATAGAATATCCATGAATTCAAGTAATGGCATCCTCAACTTCAAGTATTCGAAACAACGAAAGTGGGCGGAGGCAGACCACGTCGAACGCCGCCACCTCCACTCATGAGCACTCTCTGAAAGCTACGCCGAGCGCATGGCCAAGAGCCGGGTGTTCAGTATCGGGCATGCACCATATGTACCGGCGCGCAATTTGGATTGGATATCCCTGACGGCCATCGGCTTCAAACGCGTTCGAAACCAGACGCTAGCAGATGTCCGATCCTTTTTACTCCCTTTCACTCTCGCTCACTCGCCTCTCTCTCTCTCAACCCCAACCATCACCAACGAACAGTATCACGGTGTTAAGTATCGTGGAAACGGCAGTACTGTAGTACATCACCAACGTTTCTCTTCTGTTGGTGACGATATGCTCATTTGTAAACGAGGTCGGCGTTGGCAGTACCGTCGAGAGATCCACAACAGCGCACGAAGGAAGCAGAAGCAGTATTTGGTAGGACAGGTAGAGCCTGGCAGCGGAACTGTTGGCCGTTTTTTCGCTGGAACTTCTCCATCCAAAGGAAAAATCACTTTTCACCCATCCCATGTATCGTGCCTTGGCCACCATCGATAAAACGCGAAGCGCCAGCCAGACACGTAGCCCATCACCAACTCTTTGATGACTTACGAAAGCGACAAAGCCCCGCACGAGGCTTGGGCTGTACACCATCAACCTTCCCAGCGTCACCAAGAACGGGCGTTTTCGTTGTACCGTTTGCAGGTGTGCGAGGACCTGGTAAAGATGATCCACGAGGAAGCAAGGGTTGACGTAGGTGAAGACGGATTCGGAGGAAATGGTCCCGAACACGACGAAATATTTGGCGACGACGCGGGAGGCAACGATAAGGCTGAGAAGATGGACTACTCGAAGCCGTTCAAGCTGTTCGATGAGAAGGGCCTGGGCATCATCCCGGTCGACCAGTTCAGGTATGGCATGTTGGCATCGATGGTTGTTGGTACCAATTGATGGCAAGAAAACGATTAGTCCGACAGTGTTTCAGTGCACCGACTATGTAGCAATGAAAAATAAGTGCTCTGTGTCCGTTGACGTGTATCGCGGACTCGTATCGCGGACTCGTCGTTCTTGCCATCGCGATGCCGCACCAACCGTGCACCTATCGTCTTCATGGACATCCAGTTGTTGCCGTTGCCGACATTCTGCCTCTTTAGCTGGAAGTCTAACCGGTTCCGACGTTTCTAATATGTTGGCTCGTTCTGCCTGTGTGCAAGCGGTAGTGTCCGCCTCCAAATAATTGTGCTTTCTACAAGAAAATTGTAGTTACAAATGAACAGACCGGCACAATGTCACCCTCCCTCCCTTTCTGTATGGCGGCCTTTGTTGTTGATGTTCTGCCTCCCGCCCTTCATTACCCAGGGTGATGCTCTATCGTCTACACGTTAACTCGCTTCTGCGGGAGCGGCAGGTGGTGGCCCTGATAGACCGCTTCGACGTAGACCGCAAGGGTAAGCAAGTAGCGCGCGCAGAGGAACACTGTTCGGGAAGAGCAACATTCCAAAACAAGAGGGGACTACGCATATGTACATAAAGGAAGGGTGGGGGTAGGCGCAAAAGAGACCGGGGGGGGTTCGAGTCGTCCGTGCGGAGGGCCATCAAATTGGATGAATGGTGTGGGCACAATGGCGCCATCTCGGTAGGGGTTTCATAAATACGTGATAAACCTCGTCTTTCACCCTCATCAAAGTCCCCACGCTGCTACCGCCGACTACGCTCACCTACCACCCCAGGCGAGGTTACGCTGGAGGATTTCATCGCCTTCGCGCAAAAGAAAACATGGGGCCAAGACGTGGCAACCGACCCCTTCAATGCTCTGCTCGGAGCCACAGCGAATGAGTCGGTGTCGAAAACCGCAGCCGGGGCTGGTGGCGGGAAGGCGGCGGAGTCAGCCACCGGGGAAATTTCCGACTCCGATGGCGAAGACGCTAGGTGTGTGAAGCAGAATCAAGTATTGCACCACCACATCCTCTCTTGTGTTGAATTCTGTTTTTCTCCACCAGGCTACTAACCGTCATCGTCTGTTCCATGTCATCCTCGATTGTGTTACTTCTCCGTTCCTATGAGAGCTATCCTTACGCCGGCCTTTGTTATGGCGTCCGGCACTTAGTGTCCGGGGGGGGAGCAGACATCTTTTCCGAGGGTTCTCTGCTTTTCTGAACATTGTGCTGGGAATTTCAGGCAGCGTGCTGGACGGTGTGATAAGCGTATTTATTACTAGCGGCGAGTAGAGCACTTAGAGCACACCTTTGTTGCCTTTTCCCTTTACATGACACCGCACAAAACCAATTGAATAAGTGTGAGATGGGGGGATGAAGTTCTGTTTTGTGTACGTTTTCGTCGATTCTTCATTCTACGTATCAACCGGCGCATATTTAGCTTCAACAGTGACTGGGGAAAAATGTTTTGGGACTCTTGTGTTCTCTAGAACAAATGGAGGATTTGCCATATGACTTTATTGCAGTTTGTCACATCCGACGTATTCGCAATGTTCTCTTTCCTCCCTTGTTTCCTGACAGATTCCGTGGACTCCGAGTGACTGGGAGCAAGAGGGGGGACGCGCTCGCCGTTCTAATCATGTCACAGCTCCGAAAATCCTTTCCAAACAAGGTGTGTTGAGCCGAAACGTGTCGTCTGTAGAAGTGGCGTATGGGCGCACTCATGAATGATGCATGATAAACCTTAACCGCGTTGTTCACGTTTGGCTCTCACTACCTACCCGCCTGGCTATTCTTGGAGTGCGTTGTTGTTGTCGCAATTTCCAATGCATGGAAGAGAGGCGCATCATGCTGCAGTGTATTATTCGGACAAGCCCCACATACTACAAGGGGGTTAGAGCAAGGTTCACACATGCACCAACCCAACTTCATCCCCGCATGGCATCGGGATTGCTGAGAAGTGGAAGTACTCGTGCGGTTGGGCGTACGCGGTTGGGCGTACTGATGGCGTTGTTTTAACATGCGCCATGTAGTTTGCAGTTAAAGGAGCAGCGAGTGGACATTTTGGCCATGAGGGGCGTAGTAGGTCTGGGCCTTGTTGATTGGGTTCGGTGGCGCCTACCCGAGTTGGTTACGAGAGAGGACGTCAACTTTTGTCCGGGTGATGACAAGCAACATGAGAAAACTCGGCGTGTGTTGTACGCAAGATAATTGTATGTTTGGGTACCATACAGCAGTTCGATACAGGGTGCTTGTTTTTTGCCAGCGCTGAGGAGTCGGGCCACCTGGTGCAGGCGATACGGTGCAGCGTCTGAAATGACCTCACTCTTTCCACCCGCTACGTTGTCCTCGTTCAAATATGTTTGCCCTGCCCCTCGAAAGAGATCCTCCTTGCGGATTGATTTGTGCAGACGGGGCATTGTTAACAAGAAGGCCTTGAACCTAGACATCTTCTGATGGAGTCATTTGCGCAAGCTCGTGACAAAACGTTGGCGTTGAGTATATCACATCACATGCATACGTGAAGACGCCTTGCCGCTTGATCACGTAGTACTAATCGTAATGATGGGCTCTCTACTATTGTGGTTCTCCAGCCCCAAGAGGCCAAGCAAGAGCTGACGGAGGGGCTGCGAGCGCTGGATCACCGCGGAGAGAATCGGTTGCCAGTCGCGGATATCGTTACGGCCCTGAAGCGCATGGGGATCGAGCTTCTCCTCAAGGAGAGGGAGATTGAGAGGGCGCTACGCGCGTTCGAGGTGTGTCTACAATACAGTGCCATCCAAACATTACGAGGAGACACTGCGCCCCCTGACGCCCCCTGACCAAACCACAAAGAAGAGACGAACCGAACCGCCAAGGAAAGATACAGCGTCGTGTACATCGAACGTTTCTTCAATACATGTTCGTAGGCGAACATGATCAGAACGAATATTGAGATGGTCATCGACGATCTACACGATGACAACAACGATAACAAATACAGACGGCGACGACGTCCAACATAACAACAACAACAACAACAACAACAACAACAACAACAACAACAACAACTGTGTCCCCTGCAGTGTAGGACGAAACACTTTGCGAATGTCCCTTTGAAAAATCGAAGGGGCACAACGTCCCTCTTGGGAAGGCCCTAAATCACTTGTGTTGTGTTTAAACACCCCTTTGGCTCTTCCAAGGTGGACAGCAAATACACTGATGGAGCCTCGGTCAATGGCATCATCAGTGGTGGCGGTGGTGGTGACACAAGCCGCGAGGTTGAGTTTTCGTTGCTGATCGATGGCGTCGGCAGGGCCTGGAGAGCGGAAGATCTTTACGACAAGCAGCACTCACTCACGGGTAAGTTTTCTGAAAATAGTCGCTTACCCACCATATTCTTCTCCCCGCCGTGCCACTCGTATTATCTACCATCACCTCTCTTTTGCTTTCTCCCTCTCTGCCTCGCTCGCATTTTGCGTCCTTATATCATTTCCACAAGCTAGTACTCCTGCCATTCCCAAACACTAATTTATCGTGTGTTGTCTCCCTTACACTAGCGGTGTTGCTCTCAAGGAAACACCCCTCGTATGCGGCGGTTGTGTCGAAAAAACATAAAGTACTGTAGCGATGATAGAGAAATTCAGTAGCAACAGTAGCGTGAACAGAAAGGATCATCCCCAAAGCTGCCCCTTTTGTTACGTATTCTGTCCGTTGCATGTCACAAACGTGACAGAGTTTGCCGGATGTATGTACTTGTTGTCGTACCAGACGTTGGCCACAGCAAATGGACAGACAGACCTTTATGCAAAGAACACATCATCCTCGTATAATCTCTTGCGTTTTCCCCCAGGGAACGCTAGATTGGACAGGAAGGTGGTGCGCCTCCAGCGGGAGTTCCGTTCGATCTCTACCACAAAATCCACCAACCCCAAGACGGGGGTGGTCACGTACTCCTACAAAATGGGGAAGGTATGGGCGGACATCGACTACTAATTTGCTCGTAGTGTTCTTGGAAATAGTTGATTTAGGTTGTGTGTCAAAGTAGCACACAATCACCACCTGTCTTCGGAATACTCTAGCTCTTGACAGTAGCTTCGAAATTCGAGCGCGACTCTGTCTTGTCGGTTTCTCTTGAGTACGGTTCGTGCGTATGATGAGCACTGGAAACGCCGAACCGGCTTGCCATTCCAGCGCTGCAGGGGCTCAGGAAATCACCAAGCCCTCGACACCTCCCCATGGTTAGAGATATATTTACCGTCGAGGAACACCAAATTTATTATCGTCTGTGGAAAATGCGCGAAAAATAGGTTTTCCGAAAGCTTGACGTGGATGGCGACGGGACTGTCAGCTCTTTGGAGTTCAAGAGGGGTCTGAGGAAACTCAGGATCGGTGACTACCTCGCCGAGAGGGACGTGCGAAGGTGCGGCGCGATCGTGGGAGTAATAACGGCATCTTCCCGTCGGAATGTATTGATGAGGGTCGTTTCTACCACGTCGCTATCCCATGCTCTGTCTTAAAGAAAATGCGCAAGATACTTCGTGTGGGTGTTCATGATGGACTTTTACTTTTTGTATGCGAGCCTTTCTGCTCTACAGATAGGCAGAGGTCGGTGCAACTCGGCCAGAATCTTCACATAGTCTGTTGTTTTGGCAAGAAAGCTCTCCTCGACAACATCGTCCAAGCGCCATCTGTCAGTAGGCAGGAAGCGTTCGTGAGGTCCTCCTAAAATTCGCACAGGAACAAGCATGCGAAGAAGCGATGCAACCCTAGCTGCTCCTCTGATATGCCTGGTGCCTGACGCAGAACACAACTTAGTAACTGAGGTAACAGCCGATCACGCGCGATCACGGGGACAAACCATCAACGTGTTTTCATCGTGTCGGTCTCGGTCATGACGTGCTTCATTCACTATACAGCAGTTCCTTAGTTCGCCCTCGCTCCCCCCTCATCCCCATGATCTTGTCTTCCTCTCAGCCTCTCTCTCACGCACGAGCTACCGAAAATCAGACGTCGATTTTCTTCTCCAAACATGATTCATTTTGCAAACGCCACCACCCTGTCATCAACGACCACGACGATGCCAACTTGAACCCTACCAGGATTTTCCGATCTTTCGACCGAGGCCTCAGCGGTAGCGTCGACTACCACGAGTTCTGCGACTTCCTCCTCCACGGCGCCGTTGTCAGCGGTAAACCCCAGAACACTCCGAAAGGGCGACGACACCACCACCACCACCACCACCACCACCGACGCCCGCACACCGGCGGAGGGTACGGGTTTTTGTCCTCGAACGGACACAGGAGTTCCCGTCGCAGGCGGCGACGTCGACTCCACCGCCGATATGGATCGGAGGGCGATGGCGGGGAGAGCGATAGCGGGAGCTACTTGGGAGGCCGTAGTTCGGATGGGTGGGGGAGCAGCAGTGGCAGCGGCAGCAGCAGCGGGGGCAGCAGCAGTGGAGACGAAGGCAAGCTTTCGATTCCACCTTTTGACTTTACCCTACCTCCCGAACGTATGTTCCTTTCAAGTAGTCTGAGCAGGGGGCTCTCGCCTAAGTTCGCGTCACTTGGACTCCTCACAATATCGGTGGGGACGTCGTTGGCTCGTCTCGCAATGGACCATCGATCAACGGATCCCTTGTCAACATCGATCGGGAACGGCATGTGCTCCACCCGCAGTAAGCCGGACACTCGCTATTCCTCGCCGCCGTTGTTGTTGATCTCTACGTATCCCTGTCATATGCGATGGCTTCCACGGCGGAAACGGGCGTCGATACTCCGACCGTAAATAGGTGGCTTCTACTACGGTTACGACAGCGGCAGCGGGGACGGGCTGTTCGAGGCCCCACCCGACCCGATCATGGACGCGGCGAGACTGGCGATGGAGACCTTTGCGCCGTCGGGGGAGCGACAGCAACGTGTGCGGGACTACTTCCGGGGCAAGGATAGGAACGCCTCGGGGAAGGTGATATGGTCAACCACAAACACAATGCCATGCATCGTACGATATCTTCGGCCGTTTTCTCCTGTGTGTGTGCCACCCATCCCCGGTTTGTGTCAGGGATACATCTCTGATTGTCTGTTCTGGTCGCTACGTTTCTCTATCTCGCACCCTTTTCTAAGTCCCCCTGCTTGCTGAGGACGGTTTCAGTCGACGTTGTCTTGTCCTTTCAAGTTTCGTTGCTGAGGGCAAGAACCCCTTTCGACTTTCAGACATTTCGTGGAACTTGTAACTTGAAACGGGCAGAATTCGGCGCGACTCACGCCATACTCTGTCTTGAAAGAATCAATATACACCCGCTTCTCCTTCGTTCTTCCTTCCCTTTCCACCACTCACTACAGTACCTCATCGACGGAGCATTAGTTGGAGGACAAGTTCTACCAGCGCCCCGCGTATCGGCTCCATGCCTCCTAGTACCGTACGCACGGCCCTTGCCCTATCCCTCGCTTCTACCCGACGCTGGCGGCGGCTCTCGCCCCCCCCCCCCCCCCTGTATTGTTGGTTTCTTTCAATAGCACAACAAATTCATCTCCACAGATGAAAGTCGGTGATTGAATAGCAATGAATTCATGGTGTTTTCTGTCCTCGCGCTCTACAGATATCCGAGAGGAATTTTCACCGGTTCTTGATTCGTTCCGGGGTAGAGAATACGCTCGGAGGCGACGGCGCTTGCGGCCTGATAGAAAGGATGGACCCCAGAGCGACCGGTTACATCCGTTACAACAAGTTCCTTGACAAGGTGATTGGCTCACTGTCGACGGGGCAGGGTGTGGGGTTGGGGGCTAGATCAAGGATGGGGTTTTGGTAGTAGGCAGATCCTTCACCCTTCCAACGGGCGAGGGATTTAAACACTGGGTTAGAACAGCATCCGGGTGTTCGCGATAGTATGTGGGGAGAATGAACATTTTGAGCGGTATGTGTAAGATGCCGAAGGGAAAGACAAACGCTGTCAACAGAGGAAGTAGGATGTCTGATCTTGCTAAATGGGCACATTTCGTCGTGCCGTAACTTATTTCGTTGACAGGCCGTCAATGAAGAGGACGGAGTGCTATCTCTGGGCGACATGTAATCAGGTCAATTGCTCTTGAGGGAGCGGGGAGGAGAGAGGCGCATATGCTCATGACCGGCCAACTCTTTACAGGAGCCAGAACGGGTGTTAATGTTTGCTGATCACGCGCCGTCCGATTGGTCCACAGGTGTTTGACAAGCCCGCGGTGCCGGCACCGGCACCGGCAGCCGAAGAGCCGAAACAGGAAGGAGACAAGAAGGCCAAGGGCGAAGAGACGGCCCCCATCCTCCATCGTATCCAGGAGGCAATACTTCAGGTATCTGCGGAAAACTCTTGTCGGAAGAACTAGTCTCATCTCGTGGTCGCTTAAAAGCAACAACAACAGCTAACAACATGTTAGGTCGTTCCGCGCCTCCAAGGTGGAGGCTACGACGGAGAGTCGAGGGTCGTTGCGTCCCACACTCACGTCTTGCCCTTTCGTTTCGAGGTAGTCTTTTCACAAACGCTTGCCATTCGCTCGTCTTTGATATCGATTCATTCATCAAAACAAAGCCGTGGCCGATCTTTTCACTCCCCCCCCCGCATTGGAATGGTCTCATGACTACGGCATGCACGGCTATGAGTACAACCCCTCCCAATCGGAAATCACGTTGATTGCTGTAGAACGTCAAGCTAATTTTCTGGTGCTGACCTTCCTCTCCCGCCTTCTGCCGACAAACAGTCCCTGTCGAGAAATCGCCCGTACCACGGGATGTTCCGGCTTTCCGACGACACTGGCTCTGGTCTGGTGACGCTCGACGTTCTTCGGCATAGCCTCAACATGCTAGGATCCAGACTGACTCAGGTACACTCCTCCAGGCGACGTCGGCGTAACTGTATTCACTGCCGTTGATGTCCTAAACGTCAAGCGGCGTGTTTCGCGACGAGGAAACAAGTATTGTTTGAACCACCCCGAGTAACTCCAAGGTTCCATATAATAGTGCACCACGTACCTACGGTTGCTCGGCATGCAGCGTTCCCCATTCAACGTTCAATGGCACGTGCATCCACTGTTGGGGAGGCCGAAGTGTGGTACGTGATGCACGGGTGCATGGTGTATGTGTTAGCCTCGCAAGTCACTCACTGTAATATTGTTTGTGATAGCATACGATGCCTTGCCCGGCATGGGGGACAAACATACAACTTCTCCTTCGCAGGACGCCTGTCAAATTCGAAACATCAGCCCAACTTCGTCTATATTGCGTTGTTTGACCATAACCGGAGTATTCAGGATGAGGCTCAGATGGTGGCCGACAGACTAGCTGCGCGAACGGACGGGCTGGTGGATTACGAAGAGCTGTACCGCCTATTGCTGAAAACCCCGCCCCCACAGGTACAAAATTCGGTCTCGACAACGTTGCCACTTATTCTCATGGCAAATGAAGGCCCCATATTTATTCCTCCTTCAACCTCATGGTGCCGATCACTGCGTCAACCCGACCCGAGGATGCGATGCCGAAACCCATATTTTTCTGATTGGACATTTGACGTTGGTTGACGTTCGGAGTCAGCTTGGGCGTTGGTTTTCACCAAGCGAGGAGCCAATACCTGCAAGGCACTGAAACGGAGGAGAGGGTTCTTTTTATGCGCTGCACTTCTCTCCTTTGTCGGCATGCTTCCCGACAGGCCCGTCCTGCTATTGCCCCGCATTAGAATATCCTGACGTGACTCTCGGTCTAGATCCCCCACCCACGGTTGGCTCTCGATGTAATTCCTTTCGTGCCAAGACCTCGGTCTTGCCAGAACTCTCCTCCCCTCAAACTACCACCGATGATGCTTTGCCTGCATCACTCTTTCCTCGTTCGCAATGCTGTCGAACCGAACTCACTGCAATTCACTACGATGAAATTCAAGGCTCCTCAAACTTGTTTGTATCCAATGTAATGCGAAGGAGAGTCCGATTCACCTCACTGATGTCTTTCAGCCGTGGTAACTCTTGGATCCCAGAGTGGCAATCTGACAACATGAAAACAAAACAGATGGTTATCCAGTCAAACGCCATGGACACCGGTGTTCAACCGACAAACGCCAAGCCCAAGGCTGTCCATGTCAATCCGAAGCAAACTTGAAAGAACCAGATGGAGTTCGATTCCATGCGATGCAGTTTAATGTTCATACGCTCAGTCCGATGCCACAGGCTTCAACTGCAAGCCGCATCGCAACCAAAAGTGACACGGCCAATCGCATGTATGTGCCTAATTGCAACAACCACGTGTGTTGGAGCAGCACCTCTGCAAGAGGCCGGCCCTGACGCCGTACGCGGGGGGCGGGGTGTTGTCATGGCCTCCCCCGGTCGTGCTCCCGTCAACGGACTTCGCTGCTGGAATGATGTCGCTCGGGCAGCCCGGGAGGGGTGGTGGTGCTGATCGCGGGGACCCCGTGCTCGAAGAAGTTGCTTCAAGGTAAAGAAATGCTTTCAGGGCTTGTGTGGCTGGGTGGAAGTAGCGTGTTTGCATCTGTGAGAGGCTCGAAGTTCCGTTGGGCCGGCGACAGGAAGTTTATCGGGAGGGTGGTCGACTGTGCGTAGCTCAAAGGGGCAAAGGAGTGTGACTTGACGCGGATGAAAATTAGCGGCCACCCACATCCATATCCCGACAGAACGAAAAACGAACAGAATGAACAATACCTCGTTGTTGGTGCTCGGAGAGAATTCACTCACTTTGACGCGGAATCGATAATGTAGCTTGCACGATCGTTCACATTGCTCGGAAAAACTGTAGGTAATATGGGATGAGTGGCTTGCTCCTAGCCTAGTGAGCATGTTTAAAACTGATTGTCTTCAGCATGAATTCATAAATAATTGTGTTGAGGAGGGAGGTGGGTACAACCCTGAAATCTTAGAGCAAAAGGGTTGAAGACTGGACTCGAGACTACACAATTCTAGGAGGCGTCCGCACCTTGATGGTTGTAGGGGGGGAGGGGGAGCCGGCGGATGGGCTAAGTTTCATGGCATTGGTGTGTTTTGACGACCAGCAGGCAGGAAAGTACAATGTGTAATATTTTGTGTGACTTGAGGTCGGACTCACAGCCGGAAGCGGGAGAAAGTCTTGAAGGGAAGGGTCGGGGGGAAACTATGGGTACCCGCAGATGCAGGGAGAGCAGCGTTGGCGTAGAACATGGACGGCAGACCATATTTGCATGCTTTGTGAATGTTCTGCTGTTGCTATCTGGCGTTTCTCCTGCTGACATTGTTGCCTCAATTGCTGCTGCGAAATCATTAGGGTTAGACATCGGGTCTTGGAGAAGACGCAGCTGTGGGGACCCAGCTTCAGCCTCTCACGCCAGTTCGAGTTTCACGACCCCCGCAACAGGTGGCGACCGAGTAGAACCGGTCGATGCGTGGTCCAGTGTGATAAACTATAGATCGCCTGAACATTGTTGACGTGCAGCTGGGCGACTTGTCGTGTCGCGTTTCCCATGGAAACATTTCCGCAAGGTGTACGACTCATCGAACGTTTATCTCCAAGCCAGTATTGCCGTCAAAGCAAGTGTATCAACTTCCACCAGTATCGCCGCTCGCCCTTCAGGAAAAGATGGATGTAAGATGTCCTTCAAATTGCTGCCGAGAGACCTTGCCTGCGAGGGGCAAAAGAGAGCCCGGCCGACGCCATTGAGTAGGGAAACATATTTGTTCGTTCGGGAGCTGTCCGCTTATTTGCCCTAGCTCGGTAGTACCGTTTCACATGAACCCTCCACCTTTGCGCTTGCTTGCGGTTACGAACGTCTGAACACCAGGGGCATGGTGACAGAAAATGACTTTTCGTCGGTGATGGAGCAGCTAGGTGTGTATCTCTCCGGCCAGGAGACCGAACACCTGAAACGCCTTTTCGACAGGTACAATACAGGATGAGAGAGGGCACAAAGCACCAGACCGAAATAAGCATGCATACACCCCACATTGTTCCCGAAACGTCTCCAATACACATTCGTAGTGTTTTTCCAACGATGGAGCAATCGGCAACGCAAGCCCCGTCAGCTCGACGTTTTCAAGTTTGGAGCTAGTACAAAAGAGCAGACGGAACGTTCACACAAAGCCCACGACCAACGCATCGCTTAGAGAGGTCACAAACCAAACATATATGGCCGTTGATTTTAGGTCGTATTTTCGGATGACATGTGCAAACACCGGCGTGCCACAACGGTACAAACTGACATAGGTACGGCGATGGAGCGATCGACTACGGCGACTTCTGCCAGCGCATCATGTTCGACCGTCAGGGCATGGAGGCGCTCGCGGGCAAGGTTAACACGCGCTTCATGGAACTCAGGTGTCGCAGCAGGGGTACCATAGCAAGACTACCGCATGATTTCACTCATCACCCTCGACGCCTGGGTCCCTGTTGTCGACGGAAACTGACGCTGAAATTGATTGAAGCACTGTGTAGCATGATCTCGTCCTACGACCGATGCGGAATCCCATGTGCCGCTCTGTTTCGTTCCCCTAATGGAATTTAGCCCATTCTCCCCTTCGGATCGATTCGGCAACGATTTCTTCGTGGCTTCGTGTCTTCTGTCTTTTCTTGACCATACGTGCGTGCTCAATGATGGCCTACTCGGAAACTATCCAGCGCTGGCTGTGCTGTCGAAGGCCACCAGCGAAAGAGGAAGTTGCGGGTTTTGCTGCTGAGAACCTAACCACACGCGAATTTCATATAAACACGGAGCGAAACGGCAACAGCCCCAACAGAAGTCCCCTAAAAAAGACTCGGCGCGTGGAATTCTTGCATAGGACAGCGCGTTCTTCCGTCTTCCATGATAGGCGCGAAAAGTGTTGATGCTGCTGACAAAATTTTAAACCCCGAAGGATGCGGCGTCAGGATTCCTGTTTCAGGTTTGCTTGTTTCGGTAGTGGTACTCGTACAACATGGAACTGGTATGATTTTATTGGTTCCTCTTCCGAGTTTTAGCGATGGTCTCCACCGTTCTTCTGACCGTTTCATGCCCTTCCAAGTTGTAGTTTCGCGAGTAGCATGCACGTTTATCGGTCATCCGCTGTAGAGCTGTGAGGCGCTCTCTATAATGTTTGTCGGGACGTTAACCCGTAAGACTAAAGGGAGCACACGCAAGATGAGGTGTAGGCCAGGGCAGGTTCTTCACCCCGAAGGCGACAATGACAGCAACGACAACAACAGTGAAACAACAGCAACATCAGTATCAACAGCAACAACGCGTAGCATTGTCACCAACACCACCAACACTGCCAACAATTTTCATGCATGCAGGCGGAGGGGCGTGGACACTAGGTCTGCGTTTGACATGTACGACCTCAGCAAGACGGGATTCGTTACCCGCAGAGACTTCCGGGAGGCAATGAGGAAGCTACAGGTATGAACAAAACCGGTGCTGTTGCAGTCACACGAACAACAACCTTGCATCCAGTTTGGCTCTCCTTTCAATACAGTTTCCGCTCTCCTTCATCGTATGACGGTCAGATAGGTACAAAACCGCGCTGCAGTCGATTGAAAAAGCAGGAGAGCTCGACAACGTTTTCCCAATTGCTCTTTGTTCGTGCGGTCTGCACAAGATGGTACAATTTCAAGTCGCACTGCTCAAAATACGTACCCCGCCGGCGCCCTTGGTATCTTTGAGATGGTCATTTTATTTGCCCGTCTTTGCCCGTCTTGATCGAACTCTACTCTTTTGCCGATGGCATCAAGACAACCGCCACCGTGGCAACAACCACAACCATCAACTCTCTGCCGTCTCGCTTTCTGCCACCGCCATCGTCATGGCCACCGCCATTACCGTCGCCATCGCCCCCGCCACCGCCGCCGCTCGTGTGTTCCGACACAGATACCGGTTACCGAGCACCAGCTCCAGTCACTCTGCTCGAGGTTCGGGAGGCTGGGGGACCCGGACAGCGTCAGCTACGAGGACCTCTTCTTCTTCGCGCAGTCAGCCATGCCAGAACTTTCCACGACAAGGTGTCTACATAGATAGGCGGTGGTGCTCAAAACAATGGCTGTCTGGCGCATAGGCGAATAGCAAATGCCTCACTCGCTGAAGAAGTTTCTGGACGGGCGGAGTGTTAGGACCAGTGGTTGGGATTGTCTAATCCATTTGGTCCTATGTGGAGACCCTCCCCTACCGCTCCTTTGCCCGCGTAACGACTTTACGGCGGATTGATTTGTGCTCCTGTTGCACCTATGCGGCGACTATTCAAGGCAGCAGTTGATCATGTAACGGGCAGGTTGTTGTTGGTCGTTGTCGTTGTTATTTGTTTTTCGACCGAACGAATGAACCCTCGTTGTTGGCAGGGTTAATGACGCTGGTCGGCCAGTACCACGCGGAGGCTTCGTTCGTCAGTTCCATTTTTTCTTTCGTCTGATGCAGTTGTGATGCACGCTTTAACAATCGTCGACTTTTCCATAAAATCGGTCTATAGCGGTGGGCGAGCTGCGGTTGACGGCAGCGGATATGACGGCATCAGAGGAGCAGGAAGTGGGCCGATTCTGGCAAGGGACAACGTGCAAAGGTGAGGCGAGGGACAAGGAGAGAATTCTCAGACGAAATGGGGACGGGGGCGAATATTGTTTCGCAGGCCAACCATGCACGCAGCCGCTTAGCCTATTGCTGTTCTGAGTCCTGGTGAGATTACCTCCGTGGAGCTAAGGTTACCTCCGCACAGTAAACATTTTGGGGAAGGAATTGTCCTGTTGCTGTGGTGCCGTGTGGACCTATCTCACATCTCATGAGAACCGCGACTATGATTCGTTGGAGCATCACATGCACCTACGTGTAGATAAGGGTGCTCTATGCGGGTGAGGCGGCCGTCCGCTCGCGGAGACCGGTGTGTTTTCCCACGGTGGCGGGCCCGGTTTAGAGCCCCCCTGTTGTTGCGACATGCCCTGGACAGCGACCGCAAAATCGCGTGGCGCCTCTGCACCCCGACCACTAATAGCCTCTAAAGAGGTAATAGCTGCTAGTTCTGGTTCTCGACCATGTTCCCACCTGACACCAAAAGGTCGCTAAACCGGGATTATTACCACCGCAAAGTAATTTTTTTCGTTCTTTGGGACGGAATGTCCGCGATTTATGCCATTTCTTGCGAGAGCTCGGGGGGGCGCAGCGTACCCGGCAGGGCGAAAACCGTCATTGCCGTCATCGGCTTCTCCACATTTTCCCAGCGAAACTCTTCTTTGGTCGCTGCCAGCGATTCGTTTGCTAGGTTCTAATACTTGTGCAAATCCACCTGTCGGGCAGGTGGTACAGCAGAGTAGCGTCGGACGAGGAGAAGAGGCTCTTTGACTCCATTTACGGACGCCTTCGAAGGTAAGTGCGCCTTTATGCCCAGGACTGGAGTGCACTATAGCAACGCAACGCCTTCGGAGTCGGGACCCGTTATTCAGACACGAGGAATCATCCTTTGTTTATGTCATTTTGGGCGGCATCAGTCTAGCCAATACGCTGACCAAACGCGGAAACCGCAATGTTTTATTGTGTTAGGATCGTTCTTGATATTGGTTGTCATATGCAGTAGGAAATACAGGAGGCACCCACCAGAAGTAGAATTTTGTACACCTTTCTGCGCGTGCATTCACAATTCTAGACTGATCGCCGAGACATCGAGGTTGCGAAACCATCGCTAGGTTGGATGCTGGACTCTGTGTTCAATTTTCCGCGTGCCACCAAATGTTATGCCGAAGGGGGGCGCAGACACGCCAGACAGTACGGGAGTAAATTCTAAGAATCTTGTCTACAAGTGCCATTCACCAGGACCTTTCCAACCCCTGCTCCATATCCACACACACGATACGAACAGTTTCAAGCACCAGCAAGATGTGGGCCTCAAGAGGGCGGCCCCGCCAGACCTGGTGAAGAGAGATGCTATGGACGCGCAGGTCAAGTCTCGCTAGTAGAGCTACACAACTGCGCGGTGGTATTGATTGATGTTGAAGCTGGCCCCACCCATCGACTGACGAACAATCAAGCTCGCAGAAAACACGAAGTTGTTGTCGGTCGATGGTGAGCGGTGAGCGGGCTGCCGGTCGGGCCGCCCCCAGTGAGAAGATGAAGCTAATGCCGTTGATGGGTTGCTGGCTGCTCTTAGGCTTTGTGCGAAGAATTTTAGTTTGTGTGTGTAGGAAATAAAACCTCCGACCGGGATCTGACCTACACCAATTTGTCTCCCCGTTTTCTCGGTAAATGTCCAGTACGGTTCTGTTCTCGACCAATTTCTCTGGCGAATAGAGAAAGCACACACGTAGAGAACCTTATGTGTGTTCAGTCGAGCTAGTCACTCGCCTCCAATCTCCGTTTACTTTTCAAATCCGAATGAAGAACCACTTCGGCGAGAGATTATTCTTCCTTCTTCGTTGCGCTGCGTTAAAAGAAGTGGTCATAGATGCAAATCACTGCCCATACCTACTCGTAGCACCGCCTTACCCGCTGACATCGCGGCAACGTCAACACTGGCACCAATGGTAACAGCAACAACCCAGTCCCCAAAGAGCATCACCGATCACGGTACTCGAGTCAAACACGTTCTCTCCTACCCCCCCCGCGTTTCACCACCACCGAAGCAGTCAAGGTAAGAAACGTCACCACCATCAACAACAGCACTGGTCTCTGAAACCAACAACAATCGTTGTCTCCTTCCCCCCCCAGCAAGCAACAACGCTGTCACCAATTGTCCACACTACCAGGTGCTGTCCCTTCCCCCGGAGGCTGCGATTCCTTCTCCCCGGGGACGGTATGATTCGTCGCCCCCCCCGAGTCCTGGCAGGATACTGCGAAGGTCTGGTCCCAACTCTCCGGCAAGGACAGGACCCCGTATCTGGGGCTGCCACACCCCCCTCAGCCGCAAAGGGTCGCTCTCGATATCGAGAGGGATGAGGTAAGGGTATGGTTTCACGGCAGTATGCGATTGAAGACATAAAGAACGGATCAAGGAGATCAGATAGATTGACGACCCACGTTGTGTTTGATTCAGGTCTTCCAATTTTTTGACACCAATCCGAGAGAAAAGCGTTCTCATCGTGAGCCACAACGGTCTTGAATCCCTCCTTGACGTGGCGGGCTGATGCTCTGGTACTGGCGAATGTCTCGCCAGGTAGAGAAGCAGGCGTAGGTTGGGTGTTTTGCCTGACCGAGAGGGCAAGCAACCGGCACAAAGAGCATGACGAGCTGCTGGCAGTATGTTACGTTCTGCAGGGCGATTCCAGCTTGCAAGATCGCTCTTGAGAGTTGACCAAAGCTGAATTTTCCATAGCTTACCGACCGGTCGCTCTCAGACCGGACGTATCAATGTTTGTCAGCAGGAAGGAGTGCAAACGTAGAGCCTTCCCTTTTTCGGCTTCCCAGCTTGCGCAGCTAGCGCATCATTTGCCGGTTGAACTCCTGGTTAACAGTGCCGCACCCGAAGACCCTAAATTGTGTGTCTTCTTTCGCCGTTGTCGTTATCTGAAATGGCTCCTCTCGCAGCGGACACGGGTGCTGGATGTGCCCGGTTTGCTTCTTCGTGGAAAATTCGCCCTCCAGCAAACTCTGCGAAATATGCACTGCGCCGAATCCAGGTACGTACGTAGTCTCATTCCTGATATATATGTACGGAGAGTAGTTGCACACGACGAACAAACCTCAGCTCCCCCAAAACATGGCCTAACAATGATTTACCGCCTTTGCTTTGTCATGCGGGGATTCGCCGCTTAAGCGCGGTAAACCACCAGCAGCCGCAAGCCTTCAAGTTCCGCAATATGACAGGCATTTGCGTCCGTGCGTTTATGTTCCCGTCCATGGTCCCCGACCGCTTATCGTTCGCTTGCCGGTTCGCTTTGGCTGCGCCACCTCCCCCGACCAAACAGGCCGAGATGACTCCCAGGTGTTGCAGCAATGTACAAATTGCACATTCGCCAACCCGGAGCTGTCGGTGGAGTGTCAAATGTGCGGGGAGCCCCTGCCCTACGGTCGCGCCAGGCGCAAGCAGTCGGTGAGAACAAGAGAGGCACACGAAATTTGATGTGTTCGTAGTCAGACTTGTTTGGGGTTCTTGTTTTCATCCCGTTGCACACCGCATAGGTCTATTTTCTTCAGTTCTGTGCGAAGAGGTAGGGAGAAAATGGGCATGCGTTCGACGATTGTCTGTCCTTCGCTCCATTGTACGGCAACCGGGGAGGACGTTTCGTTTTGGATCAGGAGCTCCTCTGTCGCAGAAGACCCGTGTTTAATCAAACAAGGAAAACACGTTGTTGTTGTTGTTGTTGTTGTTGTTGTTGTTGTTGTTGTTGTTGTTGTTGTTGTTGTTGTTGTTGTTGTTGTTGTTGTTGTTGTTGTTGTTGTTGTTGTTGTTGTTGTTGTTGTTGTTGTTGTTGTTGTTGTTGTTGTTGTTGTTGTTGTTGTTGTTGTTGTTGTTGTTGTTGTTGTCGTTGTTGTCGTCGTCGTCGTTGTTGTTGTCGTTGTCGTCGTCGTCGTCGTCGTCGTCGTCTTCACGTCGTCGTCGTCGTCGTCTTCACATTTTACGTTGTGCATAGACTAAAGTTCTGGCTCTGAACTGATCGAACCAACCACTGAACGAACCGAGCGCCTTCAATCCTGTGCCTAGGGTATTCCGTAGGGCTTCGTATCCGAAACCATAGAGGGTTACGAATTCCTTGCTTTGGCTTTCAGCATGGAGCAGATCGAGCCTGTGCCCGAGGTATCTTAAGCAGGGACTGTCTGAGGTGTAGGAGGCTGATGCGTACGCCAAAACAGAGGCCGAAGAACGTGCCTCTCAGTGCCTCCATACCCAAGCTTCCAAAGCTTTCCGTTAGAGTAGACGGTGCCATCGGCCGTTCCCTTTCATTCTACAGTTTTTTCCTGGAATTGAGCGTACCATCATTGACGTTTGTCACGAAAACAACCACAGAAGCAGCGAGCCCGCCACAAGGAGGCACCGCTGCCGGGCTGGGATACGGGTGGCGGTCTGAGCGAGGATGACGACGACGGTGGGAGCATTGCGGCCCGACGACGGACGTCTAGTAGGAGCAGAAGCGGCGGTCGGCCCTAACAAGACGGAATGGGCTCTGAAGAGGTCGACTGCTGAGAACGATGGCGATGTAGACCAAAGCGACAAGGGATTAGGGTGTGGGTGAGGATTATGGCGATTTCAGCGGCGTTGCAATTTGAAAAGACTGAGGCCGAGAATGGGTGGTGCTATGTCATGCCTGTTGACGCCGAGGGGGTCGGTAGTTTCTGTTTTCTGTTGGCTCGTGAGAGTATGGTACTGGGTACCTTTACTGCACTCTTGACCTTTGCCGTGTGCCGTGTGCCTTGAGGCGCAGAAGTGGAGGGTTGGTATCGGTATTGACGATGATATTGCTGGTCTGAAATGTAGGTCAATGGTAGAGAGTGGATACCGCGTTGCAACCACAAAACCTATGTCCGTGTGTAGAACGTATAGCGTAGGCAGCGAGAGCCTGGTTCGAAGCAGTCGCACAATAGAGCTTTGCTATGGGGACTCCATTGTTCCTTTTCCGAGAGCAACTCAGGAACTCGATCATCGTACAAGAATAGGGAATACGTTGGTCTTCCAAAAAGTATTTCTTCCGTCAAGCGTGAGCCCATGAACGGCAACGATGACATGCGATCCCCAGTTTCTCGGTAACGATGGGCACCCGCTTCGGTGATCCCCATACGCCCCTGCCATGGCCATATGAACTGACTGGCCCCAAGAAATGCCTTCCGTCTAATACTTTAACTTTTGTGTCTAGTGTGTCGCCACACACACAGAGCAGTACTACTCCAACCATTTGCCAATAAATAGCCCAACTTGGCCCCGTAACCTCTCTGACAAGTATTCATACGTACTGTAAGGTTTTGTTTTTGTTTTTACGCCATTGGTTTGTGTTTTTGGAAGACAAGTCGTTGTGGTATTGCATTTGTCTTCTTTTACTTTCATAACTTTTATATCAGCGCTCACACACAGCGTTTCTGCCGGACTGAGCCCCAATCCGTCGTCACGTGGAATGTTTCCCTTCCCTGAGCCCCCCTACCCACCCCTCCTGGGTGCTTGCCTTCGATTATTGACTAACGCGAGGAGAGGGCGGCACTCTCCCTTATACGTGTATACAGTATTGTAGCGCTTTCCACCGACCAGGAACGGAAAAAACGAGTGAAAAACTCACGTCGTATGCAAAGCTCGATTCCAACCCCTGACCTGATCACTAGAAGGTTTTGAGGACTCCTGTTGTGAAGTAAATGTATAGTCTACAGGGAAACCAACTGACCCGAATGTGTTGTTCCGTATGTAACGAACAAGTGAAGCGGATTTGTCACGTTCAATGACTTGGTCAATGGTTGGTCAGCAATGGTCGTAGAGAGCTACTGGCAAGCACAGCCCCTGATGCCTCATCTCCGTGCACATCCGGTTGGAAGAAAACGTATTACTTTACAAGGGTTGCGCCAAGGGGAAAGTGGAAGCAACACACGAAACTCATTTCCGCCGTCTGAGAGACCGATCTGTGGGAGGCCTCGAGGTATCATAGATTCTTCTACTGTTGTTGATGTTTTGGCAACATCGAGCTAATATTGGGGAGAGGGGGTCCAACAGGAGGGAGGGTACAAGCTGAAGAGTGGTGGGTATTCCTGACATCTCCACTACCATTCAGAAAACACCCCATGCTACCGCATACTTCAACATCATGAAGGTTGCACCATCTCCTAGGCACAGCAATAATATGGGGCCTCTCTACGACGCCGGTGTCGTCAATAATATTTACGACACTGCACAAAAGGCTTCGAAACCACATCCTCTGTTTCTACAGCTCACAGCTGTCGCGCAAGCCCTCGTTCGTCCCATAGTGACCGGTGGTTGCCGATATATATCCCAAAATGATGTCACGGCATCACCTCGGCGGTGTCGTAAATATGCCCTAATTTA